CCTCTGGGGAACAAGACTGAGGGTTGAGTAGACAGAATATAAAAACTACAATTACTTTAATTGGCCTTCTAGTTTATTTTTTTAACTATATACATGGAATTATAGTATATAATAAATACATAGTTTTTATATAGTATACAATAAATATATAGTAAATACAGTAGAACAAGAACCATGTTGAATTGCACTATGAGTTTGCACAAAAATAAAAGTTACTTCAAACCTGTGGAAAACACTACAGGTGCAATGGCCTGGGTTATTCAACAGATAAACTGAAAAAAAGAAAGGATGGAAGGGGGAATCTATATATTTAGAGAGGCTTAAAATGCATTCCAAGTTTAAAAAAAAAACAGACAAAAATAAATTATGGTGTCTAGTGATCATGAAAAAAGTCAGGACAGTGGTTACTTTCGGAGGGCACGTGGGAGGGGCTTCTGCAGAAGCCAGCAAAGTCGTATTTCCTACCTTGGATGGGTGCTGTAAAAGATACTCATCTAATAACAATTCACCACGCTAGTCACAGTTTCGTGTGGTTTTCTGTATCTGTGTTTGACGTTATGATAAAAAGGTTTTTTTTTAAAAAGTTATATGCACTTGATTGTCTTGATAAACATGAATTATTTAAAAAGAAAGTCAAACAGACATCACATACTCAAAAGATTTTCTGGCAAGATGATCCCATTAACATCGGGTCTTTCTGAGTGGTATGATTTGGGATGGTCTCTTGACTTTCTCTCTTTTTTGCTAAATCACAAACCCTCAAAAACCGGCTGTTTCATAAAAAATGATGGTCATTATTTTAAATTTAAAAAGCCAACCAAAGATGGGCTAATCTTTCAGATCCGGGACTGCCAGAGCCACCCTTTTCCTTCTCTCCTCCCTACTTTACATGATGAATGTGAAACCCAGAACTGAAGGACAGAAATAGGAAAAAGTCAATCTGAAGCCCACTTTTCTACCGCCCAGATCTGCCAAATGATTGGCTTACGTGGAACTATTTACACTCTCCCTTGACTCCATTAAATATATGAAGAAAATTCAGTGATATAATATTTGTGCATTTTTAAAACTGCTCTCCTTTGTTTTAAATAAAAGCAACCTAACGCCTTGGCCATGCTGAATATAAAGAAGGAATTTAAATATTATGTACTAAAATGTTAGTCTGAGTTAGGGAAGATGCACACACATGTATCTTTAATTCTGGTCAAAGTTTCCACCGTCCCTTAAAAACTAAGTGAAATTAAAGCAATCCTAATGAACAAGAAATAAAGTTATTTCAGGACCCTCAGAAAATACCAGAACTCATGGTGTTCAGCGTTGATAATCAAAAAGCGTGTTTATTGGCAAGGAGGAGCCAACTACTCAATTAGCACCAGAAACACAACCCAGTAGTGCTTTATGGGTTTATGACCGAGAGTTAATCTTAGAGGAAAACACTTAACATTTCTTCCTCCCAAAACAAGAACTGTAGATTTGGGCAGACACTGTACCCTTTAGTCTAAATCCAAACATAACTGTGATCTATCTTCCCACTGACAAAGGGGCTCCAAGCATGCAGGAGACATCCTCTGGATTCCATCTTCCCAGGAGTGGGAACCCCAGGCACCAGCTGGTTTATCCTCCTGGCTGGTCGGATGAGCCACAAACTCCCCCAGCAGAGGAAGGTCTTGTACAAGCGGCCAGGCGAGGCGGCACAGGGGCTACAGACCAGAACCCACAACTGCCCTCAGCCAGCTCCACCCTGCCTTTCCAAGCGATGGCCTTCTGAGGGTTCCATAAGCATTTCGGAATGTTGCAAAAGTTATGTGGTTTGTTTTTTCACATGTGCTCCATGACAGATTTAAATCCATAAAAAAGAAACAAAACTGTAATAGTTGCTCAGTCAAAAGGCATCCCTTCCAGTTTCATATCTGGTATCTGCTACCCAGCTGAGTCCCCAGTTTTCATCTGTTTGCCATTCAGTTGGAAGACCACGGCCCCAGAACACACATTACTGGCTTGGCTACTGGCCTGGCAGAGGAGGGAGGGAGACAGGGACAGAGGGTCACTCTCTGCAGGCTCAGAGATGTGCAGATGCAAGGATTCCACTCACAGGATGTAATAAATCATTCAACGACCTGACGTTCACATAACCCCAAAGCTCAAATAACAGATTTATAAAAATTACCTTGACGTGTAATGGGTGATTATAACAACAGCCCTAGAGTATGGGGCTGATTCAGAAGTACCTCTGAAGAAAGAGTACACTGTGCAGTGTTGCAATTTACTAAACACAATGGCCTGTTTCCAACCCTGCCAGGACAACCACAGGCTGGGTTGAGAACTGGTCACATTTGGGGCCCAATCATAGCAGTGAACGGCACATCCAGGGGGCTCAGAGGCCCCACCTGTCCCTTAAGCATCAGTATTAGTCAAAGACTGTCTCGTCTCCCTTTTCCCAGAGTAGACCTCATGCCACCCCCAACCTCACAGGGAACCTTCCATTTTTGTTTAAATCAATTCAATAACAATGTGATTCCACCTTGAAGACTTCTACTCGGACAGCTTCCACCTTGGGTTTCGTGTAAATGGAGATGAGTCCAGCTTCTAAATCAGGTTATAAAATGAAAAGG